GGGAGGAGTAAGTGATGGAAGTGATGTATTTGTCTTACATAAGCATCTAGCTTCTCTTTAATATATAGAAGGCGGCGGTTCCTCTGTGGTGTATGTAACCAGTTGGTCCTGTCCGGAAATACTCGGCTGTTTGACCATTCTATCTTCTTCGCTTATATGTCCTTATTCGACCTAAATGCCATACGTGTGTACTTACTACTGTGACTGTTTAACTCCGCCCCAACCCCCCCCCCCCCGCCCTGAGTCACGCATATATGTCAGTACGCTTTATAGAAGGTTCAAACTTCTCTTCTCTCGTTTCCTACTCTCCATGTATACCTTATTTTTAGATTTTATCAGGAAATAATGATTGCCAGAATAAATAATAGAGTAATTAAATTTGGCAGTAAGAGATTTGAGTTGACTTGAAAGGGGAATCTGGTTGAGATTACATCTGGATATTTATATGAAAACTAATAATAACATAATGACAATAAGGAAAGTGGCGGGGGGGGGGGGGGGTGGGATTTAGGGTTGAAAATGTGACAATCGAGGAGTTAAAATGGGAAGTGCTGTAAGTACCGGCGTCCTTAGTAGCTGTAGATCTTGCTTACTGACAGCGAATGAGGTAATTGGCAAACTGTCTAAACAGCACAAAATCAGACATTCTAGGACCACCCGATTATGTGCACTCCATGAAAATCCACTGCGAAAATCCTTAGTTTTGGCGTGGCAATTGAATTGGGGCCGTCTTTACTAGAGATTGGCTTCGTAATTTTCTAACTCAGCTCTTTACAGACCGGATATCCTCAAAATCATTTAAATACTCAACTTAATTGTATTTCTATACATCTAAAGGTAGAAAGCACGGTGTCTGTGATATGTACCAATGTGCCACCCGTGTGTTGTGTTGTGTCAACAACAGTAGGTATCAAAATGGTGGTGTGCGTGTGCATTGATTTTCGCTTTGCGAGTGAATGAATGAGCGCGAAGGGGGGGGCACTGCGTGCTGATATTGGCTTTATGTGAAGTGGCGACGCACTGCTGCTCGTCATTGCTTAATTGTTGAAGGTAGTCCTCCTGCTATTTGCCTATAATCTACCTCTATTTTGTGTCTTCTGACTCTACATGAAGGCCGTTACATTGATAATTAAGGTTAGTCTTGTGCTTATTAAGCAAATATCTGTTTTGGATGATTGTGAAGTAGCCTAATAACCAGTTCACTAATCACTTCTAAGGAAATAGAATTTGAGAGGAGCGGAGATGCCACATTTGATTACAGTTTCTTAAGCGACTTGAGAGTCCAGTATGCAATCAGTGTTCCCGATTTTTTGCAGAACAATTCTTGGTAGTCTTGTCGTAGGTTTTAATTCATTCCTTTGCCTGGATCTGTCATCGTCTCTGCACTTATATGAGGGGTTGTCGTAGTATATAGTGCAAATATTTGACTATTTGGTGGTTTTTGTTCCGGTTATTGTTCAGCATTCTTGTATATTAGCCGATTTCGAAACATCTAGGCTTATTGTGACATTTTAATGATGATCTGTATTAATTAACACAGGGAAATGAACACATGGACTTTACTGAAACCGTCCAAAATGTTTCATTTTTCAGACCTGAAATTATAATAAGCATCTTTGTAGTTACTGCTTTGTTGAAAAGCATTTGAGCGAGAATCTAGATAACGAAGACATAAAAAATTAAACGCTCATTACATGTGCCTTCTTAACTTAATCATCTTTCTATAAATATCATATTTTATCTCCAAATTTGGAGAATGAGGGGGCAATGTATGTCAAGATAGGATTCCACGAGTTATGAATTCAGACCAACATCGTTTTAATTTTTGCGGTGCACTTGTGACACAATAATTTCGTGTAGCGTCTATCTGCGTATTGAATAAGGTTAATTAAGAGAGAATGGAAGCAATGATTGGTTGATGAATTTTACAAATAATTTTAATCCTTGCTTTACTGATTATCGTCTACAACGGAAAGGTGTATTTAAAAGAGAAATCATATGTATAGATTTACAGCAAAAGTGAACTGAGAGAAGGCGCATTCGGCTCGATCGTCACAAACCCAAAGAGGAACTGCCAGTGATGGACTTGTTTGTCCAGTAGTCTGGTGCTACAAGGATTATGGGAAAAAAGTCGGCTCGTCAAGCATAAAAGCTTGTCACCCAAATTTTCTCTTCTCTGATTGAGACGATGAAAACCACGGAATTATCTCGTTTTGAAACAGCAGTTTTCTAATAATCCTGGTTCTCAGATTTAGTGGTATTCTCTTGGCTCTCTGATCCACTTCTTCTGCTCATAAAACTGAACGCACTTTCTCTTTATATCTTGCACTTCATTGCTTTGGACCCTTTTACATTACGAGAGGTTTTAAAGCCTTTTAGTTATGGAAATAAGTAAGTAAGAGAAAGGACTGAAGTGCTGGAGCTAACCGGCGTGTGATCACACAACTGACATGCTTAGGAAAAAAATCCAACTATGTGAATCGGTGATTTTAATATTAAGACGAAATTTCTTGCAGCAAAATAAATACGTTATTATTCTGACTAGTTCGGTGTAAGTAGCTGCTTTCCCCGATTTTCTGCTTGCAGCCCTTTGCACTCAATCATCCAATCTATCTTTTGTCTTATTCGTTGAGTATATTGAGGTTACTTTGGTGTTTGTGTCTATACATCGTAACTCGTTAGCCACATAAATGAACAGTGGAGAACAGTTCTAGCAAAAATGGGTGCTTAGTACGTCATTGTTCATCCCCTGTCTTAGTCCCTCCAACTTAGATTACTGTCCATATTCTGGTCAATCTATGCTTGCTTCGGTAAAGTACTCAGTCCCCCTTTTAATTTCTAGTGATGATTAGGTTTACACTGAACATCCGAGCAATCTTACTAACAAGCGGAAGTCTTTGAGGAGGTTGATATGCTTCTATCGATTCTCTATTGAATCTCAATCTTATATTTTGATTCTAATCTTAGGTTTGCTAAATTGTATCAAAATTCGACTATTAGCCTAATATATAGACCCATTTGTCGTTCTCATATCAGAGCACTGTAAGGCAATGATGACCACGGTTATATTTGACAGAAATTTGGAAAGAGGAGGGGCGAATGCTGAGAGATTGAACAGGGCATCTGTGCACGACGCTGGAAGTCTAGGAAGATAGTGACTCTGAAGTATCAGATTGAGTCCGGGAACCAGTAAAATTAGAATACTTTCGGAGCCAGTGAGAATTAAGCTAGCTATCCCCCAAATAGGACCAAAGACCCTCCCGGTACTAACCCTGGCAGTTACTTGAAACGTAACTGAGGTTTTTGAGAAGGGCATGAGTAATTAAAATGACAAACTCACGAGAATTTATTCTGTAACTAGCATACAGGATATATGTGCTTTATTGCCATCATGCTCCTTTATTATCCTCAGCAGGAGCTATCATTCACAACCACTAATATTGGACATGATTTCCTTTCTCGAATTGAACAATCAAAGCTTGAACATGGTGGCAATTGGTCACTTTCAATTACTTTTTGTTAGCTAAAAATTTTCGTGTTAAATTATCATGCACCAGTTGATTCATCTCACAGTCCAGTGTAAGGTTAGCTAGTGGTGAAATTCATGATCTATACGCAAGTGGCATGTCGAAATAGTTCACTGCAATTTACAATCGTGTTCTCTGGTTTGTAATGTGAGTCAATTTTATAAGCCTTGATAAGTAGCTATAATCTTCTTATTTTGGTGACCGACACGAATTAATATGGTACAAATTATTCTCTTCCTGACCCAGATGGATTCTCGTCATCATCCGGCCTCTTTGTCATTACGTAAATCGGGGGAGGAGTTCAATTCTGATGCATTGAATTGTGTTTCCATGCCTATGAAATTCGCACGTCTAGCAATGTAGGCATATTCCAACATGTTAACTTAGGAAATTGTGCTTAGTGTTAGTGCCCTTCTAAGGTGTTATGAGAATAACGTAGCTAGGAAATGTTGCAACCGATACTTGCAGATTTAAGAAGACTTATTTACTTCTTATTATTACCGTTAAGGGTAAAGTGGTAAACGCACACGTCTCTCAAATCAAAATACGCGGGTTCTTTATTCATCCATTCAGAAAGCGTTTGATCATTAATTAATTCTTGTCAATACAGAGGTGTCAAAATGTAATTTTCTTGTCAAAGATGTTTCAATATGCTACTCGTCTGCTTAAGATGAGCTTTCGAAAAGACAATTAAGTCATAGATTGTGATTTTTTAACCAACCAGAAACTGAGCATTATTAGCCGTCAGAATTCATTTTACTATTCATTATCAAAATGCTTACTTGAACGTGTCAACTATTTGAAGATTATTTAAGTCAGTGCATAGCAATTTTTGTTTCTCTTTCTCAATACAAACGTACCTTTTGCCTTATTTTGGTAGCACCTCAGCTATGGCATTTTATGGGCCTAAAAAGTTCAAAGTCGCTTAGTTTGTGTTTTATTTCGGCATGACAAAATTCCAATGTGGCTTCTTTGTGGTTCTTTGTCAGATATGAATAAGGAATACGTGAGATCAGCTTCTCTGTATAAACAAAACCGAAAAATAAGTTCAGTAGAATCTCTAAATTATCTACTTTGATCCAACTTATTACTTCCCCTTTCGGTGTTAGTGCGACCTTCAATTACCATTGGCAATGACGCCGACAGTAAAACGGTTTAGTGGCACATAATTTATCAGGTTCGCTGTCGATAATGAGCACTTATATCTTCTCAACGCAGCAATATATCTTAATCCTGCCCCACAGAATGCACGCCCCTCCTCCATTTTCAATATTGATTTTCTGTCACGTTACTTAGACTCCAAGCTAATTTTAATCTGTCGTCTCCACTATTTTCTAAAGGTCCTTCTTCTATCCTTGATCTTGCACTATATTAAGTTGCCTATTAACAGCCTACTCATTAATAGCTATCGATTTGCGGAATTTGCCCTCCCACACATTCACACGCACACGTACTCTATCGTATCCCCTTTCAATGATTACCATGGAGATGGGTGAATAATCTGTTCGTCTACTTTTTTACAGTCTGGTCTGCTTTACGAGATAAGGTGCGTTTCGTGATTATTGACAATGACAATCTACGATACAGTGATATGGTGCCCTACGTATCCCAGGTACGTTCAATGATGGCGTCGAATATTATGCTACTAATTTACCAAGTTCCCAAGCCATACAGTGCTAATTTTCTCTTTCAGGCTATCAAAACAACAAACTATGAGGTTCACTTTGTCCGACCCAGGGGCCTTTCTGAATACCCTGTCAATGTCCTTGCTAGGTGAGTTGATTCATTGGCTTTTTACCGCAGTGGCTTTTATTGGTAGATGCCTTGTGTGCGCACATAGACGAAATGTGCATGTGTGTGCATGAACAAGAGGGCTAGTAGTAACTTAGATGGCACAAGCGCACCAATGAACAGGCCCCACGTCAGTCCGCGGTTTACTCACTTGAAGCGATAGGAGTGTGTGCAATTATGAGGCAGTTAAGAAAAGGCATGTGCCTTGTGTCTTTTGCCTTCCGATATACACCCTCCTTAACACGGGTCTTTTTTATTTGTACCGCGCATTCCCTCTGCGGGTTACATTGGTGATCTATTGGTTTAAAGTGGCGCTTGGTTCTTGTCCTCGTAACCACTCCATCTCTTTTTCTTTCTTGGGCTTCTTAACACATCGTTATTAGCATTGACTGTAATCATAAATTTTGCAATGAAAGTCGCTTAATATATCGCAGGAAAGATTATACATTCTATTCACTAATATTCTTTTCTTATAACAGTTTGAAATTTAATTCAAACTCATTTAACTTTTAATTCAGGCAGATCGCTGTGGTTCATGTCTAATGGATAGTGGCTCAACGGAGATGGATTGAGATCGGGTAGAGGGTCTCCCTCCATCTGAAGGTCGATTTCGTCAGATTGTCAATTTTTTATTACCTGATATTTCTCGGTTCAAGCTCCCATAATCGTTTCTAATGTTTATAGCTGAGTTCGTGTTCAAGATGGCTTCAGCTTATTAACTAAATTGATTTAATCGACTAAGCAGAGTTGGTCCGTCATCTCAACTACATCATTCTCTACTACTTGACGTGACAACGATCAGCTACAGCTGAATTTGTCACAAGAATATTTTTCAAATGGACTTTTGGTATACCTGCATTAGAGACGTTCTCAAGTACAGAAATGTCTACTTTAATGTGCTTAGACGTCACCATACTGTTGTTAATCATTACAAGTGGTCACTAAGTAAATGAACTCGATGTCTGTGGTAGTGTAGTTAGCTTGCCAGATAGGTCTTATTGTGTAGAAATCATTTACAAGATTCAATGAACTTGATAATATAAAGTGAAAGAGAGCAGGAATATAATAGCATTTCGGTACCGCTTGGGCGCTATGCGAAGATCACTTGAGTTTCGTAAAATACTGGACTCTAATCGGCTTCTCTTCAAGCTAGAAAATGATTGGACAATTTCATAGTATAGCCATACTGATTGGCTTGTTAAGGTTGATGGTATTATCTCCCTAACATCACCAATCCTACTACAAATATGACAGGTTCATTGATTTAAGTCCCTAGAGTTCTATTTTGTAAACTTAGGTGAGCATAGGCAGCGTGGTCTAAGTAGAGCTCTATTAAGGCACGTAAATATGGAGGGCCATAGAGCATGTAAGATGGGAGTATGGACTACGAAGCATAAGAGGTACAAATGGTGAGGTAAAGTAGTAAAACTAGCACCATTTGCAACAGCGATCGATAACTATATCGACTGATCTAAGCAACGAACATTGAGCTCCCAGTTTGGTTTTTCCATAAATCCACGCTGTATATTGGCCCAGGAAGATTGTAAAGCTTCCTCTCGTGCCATTGGAGCCCACATTAACATCATATTTATTTAGAGTCACTAGGGGACAGTTATCCATAACTGCAAGATCCCGTTTGTCACCAATTCAGTTGCACATTTAACTTAGCTTCAATTTCCTTTCTTGATAGATTGAGCTCTAAGGTAGCTAGAACTTGAATAGCGTGGTTATTATCTTCTATGCTTTATCAGTAATTGACCATTTAGCAGTTTCGGAATCCGAACTTCGGGTTTTGGGAAGCCATGCTTCTTACGTTAGCCAATTCCTTTTATATGTTGACTTAAAGGCTATGTCCTCGTTGATGTCATAATTTAAACTGTCCAATATGCCTGCTTAGCTCAGGATCAGAAGGGTATGGAAATGATTCGAGTACACGGAGTATTGATAAAAGATCTATCACCTTTATAGCGAATTCTTTTCACAGAACTTTCCGAATTCTCCGTCGTAAATTGACAATTTGTTTCAATTGCAATTATTTTAAACTGTAAATGTACAATTAGCTCAGACAAATCGAACTTCGCTTTGTCTGACTTTATTAAAGCGGTATTTGCACGTCTCTTAATCCTACCACCCCCTCCCCCGATTATACGTCATCAGTTGATAAGGCAACTCCAGAGGCAAATTAGTACTCGATTGCGCTTAAACGGCCTCGGAGTTTAGCTTTGCTCAAAAAATACAATGCCGCAACTGTGAACAGAGTGCTATTACTATGAGTAGATTAGCGGAAATATTGAGAGACAACCACACACCTGTTTCTAATTCTATTTCTGCAGAACACAGGAAAGTGGAAATGAGAATAGAGAACAGCGAGTATCATGAGAACCTTGATTCTTATTCCATCGTCATTTCTAAGATGGTTTTTATTATAGCTACTTTAAGAGCAATATCTGCTTTTCTACTAACTTTTCTTTTCTCTGCCAATTTTCGCAATGACCGCGAGAGAGATTGAGGGAGAGGATGCAAAACGGTTGTGATCAGAGTTTATTGGTAGATGATCTGAGTTGTATTTGTAAAGGGGTGTGCACGTATGAAGCCACGTCGTCTGCATATCCTCTGTGTATAATCACAGCAACAAGTTTGGTGGCAAGACATCTGAGGTCACAATGAAGAAAATGGACAATAAAGGTTTCACTTGGCTACTACAATACTTCTATTAAAGGAGCCTAACCGATCGCAGTTGAAACTCACCAAGATTAGATTGAAATTTATGAAATGTATGCGTTCGTTTTTTTCGATACCCTATCAATATTCTTCTTTGGACGGCAACTCTGCATAGTGCGGGACTCCACAAATTATGCTGTTATCCGCGCATATCGTCGTTGTGCTTAATTGGCTGAATACTGTTCCTTTTCTTTAAATAGTTTAAATCCCTTGAATGTGACTTGTGTTGACAATGGTCACAATTTCCAATCCCCGCTAAGTCTAAATTCTTCAATGTTTATCCTTTAGCAGAGCCCCATTGCCATAGAAGTCAAGGCATTGCTAGTATCATTCGTCTTACCTTATTTAAATTCTGAGGACATTAGACTGTACAACTTCTTCTTACAGTCCAATGTATAATATCCTAAAAAATGAACTGATTCATTGTCTTATGGGTGAGATTGTATCCACGCTATCCAAAGCTTGTTTACAGGCTAATTTAATTCTCTGATTGGTAATGCCACGTGATGCATTTGTATCTTCCCACAGCCAATAGCAGATATATTAAACTGGGAACGGTTTTTGATAGGTGATCTCATTTAAGTTCACTTAATTAAGCCCCTTGTCAAAAATCCATAATTTTCCTTCTCATTAATCTGGTGTGATTGATCACTTCAATCACTGTATCACTATGCCGATCTCGTGACTATCGAAGTGCATGGTATCTTTAAATTTTTGTCGTAGCCATACATGCGTGATAGTTCTATCCTATCTATTTGATCTTTTAATAAAATTTGAACCGGCCGCACTAGTAGTTGTTCCTTTTGGTGAGAGAATCGAGCTTACCATCTTCTGTATTAACCGTGCTTAAATAGTGTTGTTAGCCAATTCGCTCACAGATTCTGTACCAATGGGCTTGCATCCTCGACCTCTGGCATTTCAGATGTGTGCGGTGGTCAATTTGCCACCGGCGCACGAGTTGTTCCATAAGTAAAATAGTTCGACGTTGAGCAAGTGCTTTCTCTCCTCGAACTACTCCTTCCTATTGCTGCTATTGTAGTTCTACTGCATTAACCTACAGTACATATTAGTATGTATGCGCTTCGTATTTGTGGGTTAATATACTCCTAATCGTCGGTTGAAATTTATACATTCATCTTCCCGATAATCCTACAGTTTATTTTAGTTTCGTAAGCTTAATTGAGTAAACGCTGCGAGTATGTATTCTTCTCAAAGATGACAAGTACGATTGACTATGCCCCTCTTTCTAAGAAAAAAACTGCCTCTTTTGTTTTTGTCAAATAAAAGGGACCATGTGTATTGCACTTAGGTGGGTTTTATGGCTGTTACTTGGTATAATATTCAATCAGCACATACTAGGTGATGGTTAACATAGACACGTTTAGAGATATCGCAGTAGCGTACTAGCCTGACGAGTCAGAGGTCATAAAGTCAGTGCGCATCCACTAATTTGGTTGGTCAGACGTATTTTTTAACTCTCACCAATGAAAGGGAGGGCAGAATGCGCGTTTAGAGATGAAAATATGGACGTGATGAACATTCCATGCAGAAATCGACACAATGCTCGATGCCTGAGCATAACACAATTATCTTTAATCGTGTTTTCATTTTGAGCTTAGATGACGCACCTTACCTTTTAACTTCTACCCATTTAATTATGCTCTGACGGGATAATTTCCTTCTCCCACTCTATTCTGTTTTGTTTTATTTATCGCCCACCCGTAATATTCGAATTCAAGTCCGGTGCCTTTGATTGTCTCTCTCTCAAAACGTGTCTGATCTTTTTTTAAAGGAGATGACTACCCCTTGGCATTGTGTGTGTATATGCAACTGCAAACTTATCTATCATCCTGTCTGTCCAGGCATATATTGCTTTCTCAGCCAATGTAAACACACATTGATTGTACATGCAGTCTCTAGTCCGCTATATTAAGCAGAAATGTGCCTTACTCTCACTACTTTCACCGATCATTCAGGGGAATGCCATTAGCCAAGACTTTATAAGTACTTAATCACATCCCTGTTTGCCATTGCAAGGAATCTCATATTATGTAAGTATCTTCTATCTCATAACCTACAATTGTTATTTTCAGTGATCACATCTGTTCGAGCAAGCCTTTCTGAATTGATGCGAAAAACTTAAGACGAGATAAGATGATTGATTACTAATTTTCTACTTAAAGACCTGGGAATTGGACCATAAATTTTTGAGAATGACTAGTGTCACACAGACATGTCGTTATAGCGATGACCTTAGTCGCATTGGTTGTCATTCTCTTGAAAACCACTGGTGCATCTCATTACTAATATACATTTCAATGAGTTAGACCTTTCAACTCTTAGCAGTTCTACATTTCAAAGAATCAAGATAAAGGATATGGGGTTTGCTAACTGCGGTTGGATATGAAAATCTATGTTAAGGAATATGAGGAAGGAGGTGGTTAGGTTCGGTGAAGTTTGAAACTACGTGGGGCAACCATGGTAGGCAGGTCTTGACTATGTCTTATATTAGCAAGTCCTGTCAATTTCAGTTGTTTGAGCTGGAAAAGTCTATCGTATTCCGATTCTTGGGTCTCAAATAGAGTTCAAAATGCAGGTTATAGCTTTCTCTCGAAGTCAAATGCTGTGACTTGTTTGTCAGATATTCCTATACTGGTTAATCATCGTATAAATAAAAGACGTAAAAATGCCAATTCAACGCGCCATAACATGACCTTTTTATCATGACCCCATTTACTCCTACGCTTCACTGATGCCTATCCTCTACTCGTTTACCTCCTACTCTTTCTAAGCCTTTTCCCTTTCCAACCAATTCTTTCATGTATACACGACACAAGTACAGTCCAATTCAACTCACAGTCCTCAGATTTATGATCCACTGTTGTATCCTGATAGCCTTTAGGAAACTTTATACTTTTGAGACCTAGCACTTAAGTTTAACTCTTAATTTGCACGGACCCAAAAGATCAATATAAGGATGGTTTGGCCTTGGTAAATTTTAGCGTTAGTGTCTTAAATAATAGATGTCAGTTAGTTTCGAGAGTAGCCCGTTACCAAATTGAGTTTAAATGAAATTCTAAAAGTTTGCGAGGGAAGCAACATTACTTAATTGGGTATGATTGAGTTTGAGTTGAAGTGATTTAAATGCGCTCTTTAATTTCAGAAATGAAACGAGATTATGGAATAAGGGACTTTAATATATATATATTGCCAAAGTCAGGATGCATTTCTGACAATATTCGGTGTTATTTCTAATATTTGTCAAATAAAGCAATTCTTACGCTTATTTTGACTAGGTAATTGCGTCAGGGAACCTTTGTTTAAAAATTTGCATCTTCTTACCCCTCTGTATTACACAGCGTGGACCAATGCATAATTGGTTATGCCGTTTACAGGTGGTAATGAAACTGGTGGATACTTATCTCGTGATATTTGTCGCGTTCACGCTATTGTTACGCCACCAACGCGCATATGGCATAGTTGTTACTGCATTAAAGTGTGATGTGGGTCAAGGGTGAACTTAGTAATAACTCTTTTTTGGTAAGAGGGGAGTCTGTTTTTGTTAGTAATGCCTATTTTTACAGTCGCTCTGAGTGTCTATAGTAGCTAATGCTATCAGAGGTGAGTTCAGAACACTAGTACCAATAAAATAATCTACCCAACCAACATAATATTCAGATGAAACACTACTCTTCTAATGCTTTTGGTCTTAATTTCTACTTTCACTATATCTTATCTCACCTCGTTTATTGGAAAGCTTTGATAGTTGAATGTGCTTGGATGTTTGTCAATAATGAAACCGTCCCTTTTATTTGATTACAAGTAATTATAATTATGGAATGCGTACCTAAACTGTTATTCTTCATGTTCTTTGTCACATCAACTTTTTCCACCTAAAATCTTATTCTTATTTCAATTGATTAGAACATGCACCCCACTATACTGTATCTTGTCTTTCTTCCTATTAACATTTGTCAACTTTATTTTCTTGTTATCTCTTCTCATATTGCCTTATCAGCTATAATGCTGTTTGCTGAAATTTTATGCCCGCTTTGCATCTTGAGAATTCCACAGTTTATGAATCGTTGCTACTATTATTCTAATAGCTTCAGTTGATCAAACAGGATCCCACTTTTCCTGTTTCGGTTAGATATGCTAATTTTCCAACAAGTTCTTGTTTTCCTTTCCGTGAGACTTAGCCAAAACAGGTCTCATTGATCATCATTAAAGGACCAAGTGGTTGTCCCTTGAAATAAAATTACTTTTATAAAGTATGCTACTAACAAATTGATAGTAGGAAGGTATTAGCAATAAGCTACAGATGAGTAATTTTTCATTTTTTGAATTATTCACTCTCATTTTTAATTGTCATGAGCCAAAATTTCCTCTTTTGTCCGTTAGAATTAAATTTAAAGCATAATGATCATTCTTAATGGTAGCTGGAATGTAACTATCACCCATGTATTAGGGATTAAAACTTTCAATAACTCCAGTAACAGCTAATTCATTTTTATCATATGCATGTTCTGTTAGATAATCTTTATTTACATCAAATGGAAGGCGTTTTATTAGTTATCATTAGCCCTTTAGTTGACGTCGGGCTTCATAGAGAGGAGGTGGAACATTAAAGCCACAAAAAGTCGAGAGGGAGAACAGAAGAATGGTTCACAGCTGTGAAAGAGAGACACAGAGGAAGAGAAAAAGGAAAGGTGAGTACTGTGAAAGCGGTCGAATATGACATACAGTTGGGTGATGATAGTTTGAAGTCAGAAGTCAACTGTCGGCTAATAGACTTTTACCGTATGAGTATACGTTACCGAGGGTGCACCATGTGGAGGTAAGTCTATCGTACACCCCCAATTAGGTAATGTAATACAAGTGATCAGCTCATTTCCAACGTGCCTAGTGACATAGGCGTGTTAATCACTTCTGCAGATCTGAGCTACGCAAGTTAGTCTCATAGAGACAATTAAATGAAAGTGGGCTGTATTGTAATTTCTCCAACACAACAATTTATGAGTTTTCTTTTATCCTCTTGGCACTCTGCTAAGGTTAATTCAGCGCTCCAAAATAAATTATCATTCAGGTAGCCTCCATACTCTCAAGGCACTTGCTGACTGTTAAACTAGATAGGTAGCCAATCCAATGATAAGCTTGAGTAGTACGTTTTCAATTGTCTTCAGAGAACGTGTGTTTCTGCATTTTCTCCATTTTTAATGACACTCAGATATAAGAATATGAAGACTTCAGACTCAGTTTGCAAATAGCAAAAGCTCTGTTACTTATATAACACTTCTTTTTTTATGGAATTGGAAACGTGGTACATGGTTGGCTTTGTGATCAGTCAGCAAGTGCTTCAGTGGCGATCTTAAACTTCCATTTGTGAGGCATAGGAACTAAAAATCATCGGTTACTCAGTCCTCGAGACTTGATACCCACAAACTTAACTCGAATGCACTGAAAATATTTCTAAAATGACCACAATCAGAGCAAGTAAAATCCATTGTATTTTGCCAATAATCATTTAGCTTGCATGATGATACAATTTGTCCATTAAGAAGACATTAAAAGGTGCAATGCTATAACGAATAGTGTTATAATTTTTATATCTCCCAAGGCGTAACCGGCGCGGTTTAAGTGAACAGGATTTGCTTGAAATGCAGACGAATTTTGAGACATTCCTCACTGTTGATGAATTTGTCGCTGATCTGAAGTCCCAAAATCATCCACCATATCCCAGTTCCAGCATTAGCCTCAATCTTCCTCCACTCTCTTCGCTGCAATCTTCTACTACATCAAAGTCCTCATCCAAGTGAGTGAAAGTCGAACTTTTAAATCCACTTCTTCCTCTCTCCGATTTTATGATAAATATTATTTGGCCCTCACAGCGACGCGCTCAAAGGAGCACCAAGTGTTGACGAATTGACTGACAAACTATTAGGTAAGTTTGTACTGATTCTGATATTTCACGATGGAAATTGATTTTGTGGTAGATTGAAAATTCTATTATATTTTAAATGTCTATTTAAAGATATAGTCAAAAGTGATTGAAAGTTGAGATAAGTGAAGTTCTAATGGATGTTGAGGAGTGGAATGAACAGGAAGCTGCTTTTATCATCTTTCTTGATTCGAAGGAGCTAGAGATGCGGTGGACAATGGCAGTGGAAGGGGAGTGAGCGAGAGTGTTGCAGGATTGGCAGTTGAGTTCTGCTCTTAAGCCAAGTAGAATTACGAGGAACGAATGCAATGAAAGACTCTTAGAGGGTCTGTCTGCTTTTGTCTTCATTGTGAGAATCACTACGTGAAAGCTTCATCTGAGCAAGTGTATAATCCATCATGTGATAGATGAGCTTCGTAATTCGAGCTTGTTAAAAGTGGAGGCTCTTAACGTTTAAGATAGCCCAAATTTTGCTGAAAGTATGAGAAGATTCCGATATGACTTTTGTGATGACTTACGTAAAATTTCACCCAGCTTCTCTTCTCCTATTATCACATGCAAACGATTTGTAGAAGATTTTTGGTAATGAATGATTTCAGTTAGAGATTAAATCATCCATGGTTTTAAATTACATAAAGAACAGGTTCTTCATGAAGTCGGGTTAGTTGAAATCTTTCACGCGGATCCCTGACTTTACGTCTAGTTTTATTTGTCACTCCCATCAATTTGCACACATCTTCCTAATTCATATCGACGCTTGGTTGCCCATTCTTCTATGCAGAAGCTTCTGTGTTCGATGAGGTTGTTGCTTCGTTGCGTTTGTGAGATAAAGTTTTTGTTCATTTGTAGCAGATGCGTCCAATAAAGGGAATCTACGATAAAGTACATTTCTAAGACTTAACTTATGATAAATGTTCGAAATACTGCGAATTTTACTTGATTCTAAGAGTAATTCACGATTAAAGGTAGTGGTTTACTGATTTTAACTCTCTGAATACTCCTTTTCTAACAAAGCCCTAGTTACAAGCGAAGGGGGAGAACCCTCAACTTCATTAGCCCATTCTTCGCCACTTTCAACGGAAGAGGGAGCGCAAACGTTTGAGGAGAAATTGGATCATCTCAGGTGTATTTATCCTGCTCATAAAGTTTCACGTCTAAAGGCGGCTCTTGAAGAAGCAAATGGCGACGTGGCTTATGCCAGCGCACTTATCTACGATGGCTGTGAATTCGAGTCAGGGTTGGAATGTGATGAAAGTGAGGTTATCGGAAGTAACTCCGGTGTCACAAAATCCCCATGGCATGAGGTTGCAAAGTATATCATTGACAACCACCCTTCAACTGGTTAGTCTATCAATTTGTAGGATTATTGTTTATAATGGACTTTCTTCACTTTAGAACTCATTGGCATCCCCATGGAGCAATTTAATAATTGGGAGCCTGATGAACACTTGTTGAAGCAAATTCGGTTAAGTCTTCTTAAACATGGTTGTCGTGATAAAAGCTCCAGTAAGAAGCAGTGTAGGAAGAAGAATATTGGAGGGGAATTTTCTGCTAGATATGCCGATGATTTACCAAAGTCGAACGTTGAAGAGGATCTGGCACTTCAAAAGGCGGTTATTGACTCTATTAAACCGTTTTACGAGGTTAGCTGCCGAGGACTCCATATTTCAGCATTTACATTACATCTATTAATTTGTGATTCCTGTTTCTTGTCCCTTTTCGAAAGGTCTTTCATGATCCTGAAGTTCAAACAAATCTGAGAGAACTTGAGAGAGCCTATCCCTCGGTCAGTCGAGAAGCCATCAAAGAAGTTATTGTTCGTTGCGAGTAATGTTTCGTTCGTTCGTTTATTTATGAAATTCTGATGGAATGTGAAAATTTAGTCATTTCTATTAAGCTATTTGGAATTGCAGAGGTCAAGATTACTGGATAACTTTGCTGAATTCCCTCCTAATTTACCAGGGACTGGATTGAAGGGTTAGCCGTTAATTCTCAATAACTAACTATTAGGCCATTAGCAAGGTTTATAATAGACGAGAGAACCAGTTAATTAAACAACACCAATGATCATCTCAGCTCCGTATAGAAGTGGTAGTGAATTAATGTTACGTAGCCATCTCTAGTATCCCAACACTGCTTAAGCTCTTCGCAATGATTGCAAGATTACAGTGGGTTTTGTTCAATAAAAATACGAGGCTTAAATGAGAAGCAGTATTTGAATTTGAAAGATGGAGCCATAACAGGCACTGCAGAAAATGTAGTCTATGTGATTAGCTTTGGCAACTTCAAAGTAGTGCTTGATGTACTTTGAGAAAAGGGTAAGTATACCGAAATTTGCAGTGGATTGATTGAATTGATGCGAATATCGCATAGCTTATGCTTCTGAACGAGTGGTCACATTAAATCATGCCGCACCCAGACCATATGACAAAGAAGTTGATATAAAGTGATTGTTAGTTATGGTTGCAATCGAAACCTTTTTCATTTATAAAGCTGAGGTTTATATAGCAATTTAGAAACCTTTTGAATGGTTAGGAACAGTTGGGAGCACTCTGTTCCGGTACCACCAAATTTCAAATGGTCTAAAGACAATGGTCACTAAATATGAAACCTCGAAGTATGAGGGGATTACAAGGGGAGAAGGCAGGAAGAAACGATTGGAGAAGCTGACTGTTGGAGTTGACCGGTGGGTGTATGTTGGAAACGAGTAGTTTCGGGGTCGGCTCAGGGGTGGTTTTGTAGGAGTATCTATAAGTAGTGTCAATTTACTGTTGGAATAATTAAGACGGTTGGTTTCTAGTCGGGAAGTTAAAACAACGATAACAGAGTTTAACACAAGGGAAATCTTTGTTTGACGACCGTGTGAGTGCCCTAAATAAAGTCTGTCAATTGAAGGCGGTTCCAAATATTTCCAAGCAAACCGGAATGCCACTTAAATGACCATCGGTAACAACTTATTTAAAATTAATCGGGAAATAATGTTTACTTGAATTATTAAAATTAACTAGACTATGCGTTATACTTCTATCACCATAGTTGGTCACTATGTCGAGTCAATCTCTTATTTATTTTTTTTCTGAAATTGGATTTTCCCGTTTTGAACTTCCTAACTTCTTTTTTCCATAGGCATTACTCGATTGAATTGCACAGTTCAATAGTTTTGAAGCCATGTTCTTTTTTATATTCGAGTTGACTTGATCTCTCATCTTTTCTTTCTGGGCAGGTTTGACATGGATCGAGCGAAGGTGTGTCTTGATTTCAACTTACTGGACGCCAAGAGCTTTCACGAAGCCACAGACACTACACTGTCTCTTGCCAATCTTCAATACGAAGAATTAAGAGCTGCTCGATTCGAAATGGTATAAAGATGAGCTAAAATTATAATTTAATGCATTTAAGGATCGTATCAGACATGCCTATTGAACGAAATATCGTATAACTCACAATTTAGTGCTTTCACAAAAGAGGTTATAAATTATTCTCCAGCTTTAAATTGTACTATTCAGTTTTACCAGTTGTTATTGGCTGCTACACTAATAAGCCTTGACCCATGCTCAGCTAAACTGTCTCAACGTAATGGAGGAAGCAGATGTATGGCGTGGAATACGTTTATTTGGGCGGCTACGTTGACCATGTGTGACTATTCATTGCCGATTGGCTGAAAGGTCTCTGCACTCGTGACCTCATTTGCTCTCTAATGCGATCAACATCACAACTGCACGTTCTAGAATGTTCGAGCCCACAAGGCTTCCTTTTGTTAAGCCATGCTAGCCTTGTGTTTTCCATATTCCGAAGAGTCGTAATGTAGGGCGATAGACGTCCATATGCTTTTTGGGCAGACGGAATGGTTTGGTATTCATTGTATACACGCATTCAAACACAGGTGCCATCTAAATTAGTTTCTAAGGTCTTGGGGGGGGGGGGGGGGGGGGGGGGGGGGGGGGGGGGGGGG